GGGGGCCTGGGCTCACCGCTGAAAACAGCTTCCCCCCCAGCCTTGGGCTCAGCTCATGGATGGAACTGCTCTTATACGAAAGAAATGGAGCGTGGGTTGCCTCTAGCAAATTATTGTGTGTACTAGTTCTGCAAATACTTCATTTTGTGAGTTCCAGCATTGCTAACACAAAGTCTGCATCGTTTTCAGACATATGGATGACTATTAAAAAAAGGCAATATTTTGTCAACAATTTCTTTTCGAAAGTGAGAAATATGCCAAGAAAAACTTTTTGTATAGAACGTACCCAACCTTGCATTTCATTTGAAGGGTGGAGCTAAAGTGAAGTCATGTTGACAATTTTTTTGGAGTAAATAGAAAGAACGACTTTCAGGATTCAAATAGAATCATCAAATGCGCAATTTCCTCTTGTATGCACACATCCACAATTGGGTTTTTTCTGTAATTACCAAACAAGTAACATGCCAAGTTGGCAGGACAAAGGAGAAATTTTATTGACAAGATAAATATGTACAAAAAAAAGGAACAGTTCGTGGTGGATTTTCACCTTGTACTGAATCATTCAGGTAGGACATTGAGATTAACTGACGTCATAAGACTGAACATAAGGGGTTAAATGTGCAACAAGAGCAACAAAAATCTGGGCTCTTATGACTGAAACCTGGGCCCTACCCCTTTTGGTGGTGATACAAAGTTGTTGATCTCTGATCTTAATTTTCAAGAGATCAAACCATTTCCTTGTCATCTTTGTTAAGCACCACCCTTTGTTTGGTGATACAAGCAACCTATCAATCAGTATCTTGACAATCCCAACTACCTTTCTTCCAGAAAAAAATCATTTGCTTTTTCTTGGGATAGGCAGCAGATCTTCTGGCTTAGCCTTCTTGAGCTATTCAGCACGATGTTCTTCGCGATTGCCTCTTCACCCTTTGGGGCAACTTGAATGGACTCCAGCTCTTTCGGCGTTTAGAGGACTCACAAAAGAGGCCAGACGCCAGAGCTTGCTGAAGCCACACCTCAAATTCTTCTTCATCTTCATCCATCATTTCAGCATCCAAATCCCACGGGAACCTACTTGAGTTCGATCTCTGAGTTTTCTCCGAACCAACCATGTTTACATGGAAGCTAGGCCTATGGGTGTTGGGCCTGCATGCCATTCCCTACATGGTATAAGTTGAAGCTGTGAGATACCAAACCTTTTTCCCCCTGGCAAAAGGTAAATCTACACGAACCAACACCATAATAATGGATCAAGAGCACATATTCTCTAAGTCTCTATAACATGGTGTTTTCAGCATGATATCTGACATTTGAACACTGATCTACTCAAATTAGACTACTTTCCAGATCAAGTTTTTAAATAAGGATGCTAGAGATGATTCGCCTGATTCATGTCATTTTCCATAATCCACATCTAGAAAGTATGCAAGGCAGAACATGCACAAATAGTGTAAGAAGAAGACAAATTTTCATAACTTAGATAGATTTTTTATTCAAACAGTACCTGACAAATAGCCCATTCTGACACATCAAAGATTTTGCTCTCAGCACAAACAAAGGCTCGTGGTATTTCCACCTAAAAGACAAGAAACCAAAGAGCCAACAAATATTATAAGGGATGCTTATATGAACATTCCGGCAAAGGCGGCAATTGATCATGATTCAATTTAACAAATCATGTATATCAATGTTATATTACACAGCAACAATGCAGCATTTGAATATCATACTTCCTTCTAATTACCTCTCAAAGAATTTCCTGCATCCCTTAATTTATATAGCAAATTTTGCAGCCAAACATTCCATCAAGCAATTTACACCTTTCATGGGAAAATTCTTTTCTTTTTTTTACATTGATAAATACAAGTGAGGACATCAGAACTATTTGCATAGGATAACAAAAAATTCATTACGTCTTGATATTTGAGAAGTTTAAAAATTCTCAAGGTATAGAAAATAAATTCTGAAAAATAAAAAGAAAATACTATAGAAATTACCTTATGATGCCTATTAAAGACTAGAGATCCTTTGTACTCAACCCATCCATCTCCATCCTTTGCTTGGTGATATTGACAGCAATCCTAATGCCAAAACAGAAATCAGAGGCACAAAAGACTGAAGTGCAAAAATGAGAGAGAGAAGGCTTCAACAGTTTGATAATAATTAAAAAGATACTAATGATAGAGAGCAATGTCTGACCTGGCACCATCTAGCCTTGGCCTTACTTCTGTTGGTGCATACCCATATATGCGAATTTCCACACTTAGTGCACTGTATACGTCTCGACTCTTCAGAACAATAATCTGGACCATCCTGCTTAAGTAGAAGTATGTTAATGCAATTTTAAGCAGGGGTTATATATGAGCATCAGTAAATTAATTCAGAGAGAAACGAACCAAGGAAAAACAGATTTCTGCAGTTAAAATCATTAGGAAAAAAGATACGTGAATAAAATGCAGACTGCAATAAGAAAAGATAAGTTTTTCTACTCAAAGTCACAATGAAGTCATGATACTTTTTTTCATACTCTTCATCAACAACAAGACATCATCCTGCACAATGAAGATGGCTCCCAACTTTCAAAAACAAACTAGGAAGTGTAGCCACACACATGCTAAGCAACAATTAAGTTTCTTCCTTCTTTTTTTCTGCCAAGGGCAAAATCGACCTCAAACTTTTCCTTGGGAGAATATTAGCATAGTTGATATGAGCAGGAAATTACTCACCCTAGAATATGTAATTAATATATTTTGAATTTGCAATTCCTGGCATAACACAAACATATCATATCCTTTACATCTCTGCTCTCTTTTCTATAGTTATTGATGACCTCCATCAAAATGGCAATCAGGTAACCTACCAATTAAATCAATAAACACAGAACATAGCTCACCTGATGTGAAGTACCATGGGACTTCTGGCACACACTCTTAGTCTTGGATTCTTCCTTCCGCAACTGCTCATCATAGTCTCGCTTCTTTGTGGAATCAGATAGAACCTAAAAATGTATTCCATTGTGAGTAGCGTATACACAATAACTATAATTCTCATTTCAGAGTCTCAGACATGCATTATGGGATAATCACACAACTAAAAAAACAGTGCTTTGTGTATAATTACCTCATATGCACATTGAAGTTTCTTAAACGATTCACTGGCTAGTGCACTTCCCATGTTTTTATCTGGATGCACAAGCATGGCCTATACAAAGGATAAACAAGTAATAAATGGGGTAAGAGGGGAGATAGTAAACTTCTAAATAGAATGAGTTATAATATATATACACACAAAAGGCACATACAGAGTAAGTAACCAATCCTGCATCATTAGATCCCAACAAGCGGTTAGGAATAGAACACTTTAGAGTGTTCTAATCTTCATTGTAGTGAGAGATCTAAAGGCTCAGTATTAGTAAAGAAGTAAACTATCAATCAAGACTGTTAATCACATGGAATCGTGTTTAATTGTCCGATGCAATATACATAACACACACATAGTATAACTCGTTGCATATCAGATTCTTATAAATTGTATTTAGTCACTAATGCTACTCCTTTTTAGTCAAATACAATAAAGCACCTCTCCCTTAAATAAATCATTTCAAAAGTAGTACTTAGAATGAGAAAAAAAGAGAGAACTCCCACTGGTGAATTCAACCCCTCAAGAAGAAAGGAAATATAATATCCACCTTCTTCCGGTATTCCTTTTTCAAAATTGCAGCATCAATTTTTTTGTGGCGAGGAAATCCCAGTGCTTCATAATGATCAATACTGTCTAATATTTTTTTCATCTCAACAGCTGAATTTATTTCCTCTTTGGCCACTGTACTAGGGGAAGATTCTTTCGGAACATCAATAACAGCTGAAGTAACTGGCTTGCTTGATGATTTACATGAGTGCACCTTTTCAGATTCCTCAGTAGGAATAGAGTATTCACACTCCCCAGAAAAGTCATCTTCAATAACTTCTTCTGATTGCTTCTGCTCTTCAAAGTGTGTGCTTTCACTCACATTATCACACCATTGAAACATATAATTTAATGCATCATTAGAGAAGAATGCAAGGTTTATTGAGAGAATAACACCATGCCACCCAACTTGAACTTTGACACAATAAATAGCATATATAGTTGCCATCAAGACCACCAACCGTGCATGATTTAAGGAGAACAAATAACCTGCATTTGATTTGAAACAAGACTCAAGTATTTTAAACATCAATAGAAAAGCCAAAATATGTCAGAATGCTGATCCATATATAAGACCTCTAAATGCAGAACTCTTGGAATTTTCGCAACAGATTGTTTAATACTAAGACCGCTTTGATGAAATACCCAAGGTAATGCAGGATTAATGGCACGTACCCAAATGAACATGAGGACACTTATAGTCGAACTTAAAGACATGTTTTTCAAATCTTTTGTGATACGGTGTTTATTTGGTTAAATTACAAGTCTTCTATGTTGATGCATTCAGAAGGCTAAAATTATATCTTCAGTTATTTCATTATTTCCTAGATATCATGTTGTGAATGTGAAATCATTCCAAAAGATTCCTGCAAAACTACTACAGTCAACTCTAGACAGCCAGAACTGTGTGTGTTCATCACTTTCATTTTAGGTACACATTCATGCACATAAGCCAATGAGTGGTAGATATGCACCCTTGTACGTTTCATACAGTATAAATAAAATAGCAACATCGGTAAAGCAAGAACAATGAGGGAACAGAAGACATTCAAAAGAATAACATATCTGCATCATGTTACTGAATTTTAAATTCAAGGTCAAGAAAGCAGGCGTACCTCCAACTATAAATAATGTTCCTGTTATCCAAAAGTTAGCATACATCCATAAAATCAGAATAGCAAAGAGCCCTACTATAAAAAGTCCTGGAGTGTAACCCAAGTACTGAACAGCAGCTCCAGCAGCTCCCTGAAATATTGGGCCCAACCATAAGTGGTAGTTTTTCAAATCTTTGTTCTGTAGCTAGCAATGTATATACTCATTTAAGTTTATATACCAATATGTATTTGTATTGTTGGAGTTACAAATACTCCACAGATGTCACCTCATAGCTATCCATTATTCTAAATTAAGCCACCTTGTATAAGTAATGCCAAGACAAGAAAGCTACGAAGGTTCCACAAATTCACAGAACATATCTAATAAACAATTCCTATTTATGCTGTTATCCAAAGTGGGGTGTGGCATTGGCCTCTTAAGTTTGAAAAGCTTCTAGAAACATAGCTGCTAAACACAACTCTTTCAAGTCTAAAAATCTTCTAGAAATAATCTTAATTCCACTGCAGTCTTTTCACAAATATAACAGGACTGGCCTTTCTTCTGTTTATTTTCCCACCAGAAGGCCCTAATTTCGCAACTTAAGTAATTTCTACTAAGTCTTCAATAAGATAACCTAAAACTTGAAATATTTGGTCCCAGATAGACCACGAAACCTGAATTCTTTAACCTTAACATGCAAGCTTCTGCATATGAGCAAACCCTCAACCCTTTCAATTGGGATTCCTAAAACCTTTACATTATCCTGTCCTGGCCTAGCTTACTTCATGAGCAAACATCCCCCAGTTTCCTAGTCTATCCTATGCCAACACTTTTTCCACTCCTAAAACCCCTCTACGGAAAACCTTATCTATCCTATGTGAACACTGTCCACTCCTCTGAATAACCATTAAGGTTTTTTAATAAATGGTGCTTGGAACTATGTAAATTTGCAGATGTGTAATTGCAGTGACAACCATAGGCTATAGAGCACAAACGTAACCATAGTTATACTCACACTTCAAAGAGAACCACTCTTACTATGACTTAACGGTGAATAAACTCATAGTTGACAATGCTGACTTCAGTGAAATTATTCCACATACTTCAAATGAAAAAACAACATACGATAAAATTACCACCAAAAAAAAAATATTCCACATAATGAAAATTAAAATATTATTCCCATATGATGTTACAAACTGATTTTTAAAATAGAGGGGAAAAAATGGCTTTCTTTTGAGACCCAAACACTATTTAAAGGATCCACACAGATCACGCTCCAAAAGCTGGATCAACCATTGCTTTCTCATTTGCCAACTATGAGCCATATGTTACATCATAGATTGTCCATCTAAAAGACATCACTCCTAAAATACCCTTATAAGAAAATGGTCATTAAATCCTTAAATGGATTAGGACTTTGAAAGGAATCATAATTCTCTCTGATGCTGTCACACATCTACAAATTTCATGTTGTACGACCCAATCATAAATTTCCATCTATATAATGAAATTCAATGAATTAAGAAAAAAAAAAATTAGAAGACAACGCATTGGCAAAAGGCAACAATTAAAATGCTGAAGAGTTTTTAAAAAATGAGAAGGGAACATACCATACTAAGAAGTACATATATCAAGCAAGAAATGGAAGTCAAACTGAGAAAGCAACTCCACATTATAAGGAGCAAAGCCGCAGAACCCAACCCAAGAAAGGATTGAAAACCTCTTACAACACAGTCCCGCCAATAAATCAACAACAAGAGCAACAGCCTCCCCGTCTTGGTGCACCCACTGCACACCATCGGCCAATGCCGCTCTATGAACATCCCCATTTTATCTCTAAATCCACTGATCGCTGTTCGAGATCGCGAGTAAACGTGCTTGTGTGATAGCAGCCATTTCCAACCTTGTTTAAAAAGTCCTATGTCCTCCATAAATACAACTATGGGCGTATGAGATTAGCTGAGAAGCAGATTACTGTTCAAAATAAACCCTGCTACCTATAACCATCAATTTGAATCCGAAATTGGCAACAACTCAAACTCTGTGATGCTAAATCATCAATGAAGTCCATAGAACATAAGAACAAAGAGCAAGTACAAAGCTTTATCTGATAAAATACCAAGCTGAAAAGGAGAAAATAGATGCAGCTCAAATTCACGGATTTAGAGCAGGATCTAGAAGCCCCAACCTCCCACAAACCAACTAGTAAATTGGATCACGTTCTGCTTTCATTCAACTCTCGTATTGCTTCACATGCAAGCTTCCAAAAAGCAGCAAAAACACGCACAAAAGCTAAAAAGAACAGATACAAAATTCGCAAATATTCCGCTTTTTTGAAATAATGTCTCTCTAGCTTTTCTGACGCGAATGTCTAAGTGTCTATGAAACGAAACCCACAAGTAGTCCCAACTCCCAGACCAATAATGGTAGCCTGGCTATGTCAGTCTCCTCCAAAACAAATTAAACGGAGCAGATGAAGATGACCTGCAATCCCGGTTATGGCGGAAACCCTAGAGAGAGAGAGAGAGACAGTTGAAGCACCGACAGTGGAGAGGAGAGAGTTAAAGCCTTAAAGGAGTAAGCTCTAGGGGATTCGGAGGAAGAGGATTTGGGGAGGGGAGAGAGAGAAATAAAAACCCTAACTTTTTACAGGCATTGCTCGTGAAAAAGAGAGTTTGAAAAGTTTAAAAAAGGTGTAGAAAGGAAGAAGAGAGAGGGGGTGAAGAAGGGGGCCTTGGGCTTGCACAGGAAGAAGAAGAGGATAGGAGACTGCTACACTTGTGTCACATTTGTCACTTTGTTACCTTTTTTTTTTTGGCATAATTATGACCCAGTAGGACCCACTTGACAACCGTGTTTTTTCATTCCTCCTTCTTCTTTTTTTTTTTTTTTTTTTTTGCCCTCATTATGTTTGCTTAGTTGGGTTTTTAGTACTTACAACCACTTCATGTTTCTTTGACAATTTTCTATTCAAAAAATAATAATGTCACACACCTACCATCTACTTATTACTTTAATACTTTACTTTTATTGTCAACATTAGAAGAATGTGATGTGAAAGGGAATTTATTAATGGAATTCTTAGACATAAACAGGTTGATTCTGGTCCTATGTAATTGGGGAATTGTCCTGCCTGGTTGGCAGATCATGGCTTCCCTTGTTTTTGTTTGCATATGTTTATAGTTATAGAACTCTAACCAAATTAAATTAAATCATAGGATATTGTCGCTAAATTGCAAATTAATCAAGACCGCACATTCAGACACAATTTGTAATCTATTACAGAGTCAAGAAATTCATTATATTTCATCAAATTCGGAATGCGATGCGGTTCTAAAAGATGAACATCATACTTGTACATGATTTGGTTAATGCATGTCAAACTATATGAAGAGAAAATTACTTGCTTATAATCCAATCACTTAGTCAAGATCACAATACGAAAAATCAATAATTTCTCCGATATTTCGGCCAAATTATCCTTTTTTTTGGGCTGCGAAATTTTAGCACAATTCCAGGTATTTATCGATATTTTCCTTGATAATTTCGGATAAGATATTTTCGTTCAATTCGCAACTTTAAATGGTCATAATATCGCGATATTATTAATAATGTCGTCATGCTGCTCATGACTTTGTGATTATAAACTATGGAATCTAGTATATATAATACTTGCGAGACTTTCAAAAATTAAACAATTTAAACTCACTCACGCTCTTGCACACAATGGGGTTCGAACCCCCTCTCGACTTCGGAATTTACAGCCACTTCACCATCACGCTGCTCATAACTTTGTGATTATAAACTATGGAATCTAGTATATATAATACTTGCGAGCTGTTTTTCAAAATAGAAATTAACATAATTACTTATTTTTTTATATTGTTGATCAGTTACTTAATTACTTAATATAATTTATTTCTTTTCTATTTAATCCATTTAATGTTATTGATTATTTTATTATTCATTATAAGTACTTACATGACTAAATTCTCCTTTAAATTGTTGCTTAATTACTTAAATCTCTATAATCATTTTCATTATTTACTATTTAATTCTTCCTTAGATAAATTTATTTATGTTCTTAGTTAATTTTCAATCTTCACAATTATTTTTTAAGCGTGGTAAAGTGCCTAATCTTCATGAAAAATCAAATTGGTTTACATCTTTAATTATTTTTCCATTTTTGATTAAACAATAAATATAAGAATACGTACCATGTCCAGTAAATAACATGAAATAAATTGTTGCTTAATCACTTAAATCTCTATAATCATTTTCTTTATTTCCTATTTAATTCTTCCTTAGATAAATTTATTTATGTTCTTAGTTAATTTTCAATCTTCACAATTATTTTTTAAGCGTGGTAAAGTGCCTAATCTTCATGAAAAATCAAATTGGTTTACATCTTTAATTATTTTTCAATTTTTCATAAAATAATAAATATAACAACGTGTACCATGTCCAGTGAAATAAGGTTACTCATGTATCTCATCATGCAATTTTATAAAGTGTAAAATATTTTACTAAAAAATGAGAAATAAATTACTAAGGGATGTTTAATTATCTTTCATTAATTACTCCAAATTTTCTAAGTCACAGAGTTTGTTAGCTCGCAGTATAATCAACTTAAATCACTCAAACCCACTATGCAATGCATTTCCTTCCAATTTTTTGTGTCAAAATAATAGATGATTGACTAAATAAACTTCTTCTAAAGTTTCAGTAAAATTTTCCATGTATTTATCACAATTTCCGTGGTTTTTATTCAATTTTTATCGATATCGATATTTTCCCGATATTTCCATCGATATTTCCGTGTTTTTGAACCATCGATATTTCCAAAAGTATCGATATTTAAGACCTTGGTCAAGATACGTCACATCATTTTCGGACATGAATTGATTAATACATGTCAAACTTGGTATTAAGAGAAGATTACTCGCTTATAATCTATTGTCTAGTCAAGATACGTCATGGCGTGAGACGGATCTAACATGATAAACAATACTAAGAAATATGTCATAGTATATAATACAAATACAGACTCTACCAGATTATAGAACACAAGCTTGAGATAATTTCATTCCACTTGCATGTTGTGTGTTTGTGCGTGGAGTAGGAGAAAGCAAGGAAAAACAAAATCATCAAAATCTTTGAATTACCAAACCTTGATCCGTTTACAAAGAGTACCTCCGACTAGAAGGGTCTAGCTGAAAAAAAAAATAAAGAGAAAGAAACACAATATACAATTTACATAAAGACAGCAGGCCCCAAAAACCTAAATGGGATAAAAATAAATTAAATCCACAAATTTTGTGAGGTCATATCATACGGTGCCGAAGGTGAAGCTCATAGTATTACCAGCTGAGGTTTCTGATGACATGGTTGAAATGAAGGTGGAAGTAGCAGCAGCTGAGGTTTCTAATGACAAGGTTGAATTGTCCTGGCTGTCTGAACCAGGGGACGCATTATAGGTACACGTAGTAGTCATTGTGTCACCAGGCTTGGTATTCTGAGGGGGTCTTACTTTGAGATCCATGAAATCAGATATTAACCCTGGCTTTGTTATCTTATTATCGTCAACAGCCTTCTCACCTCTTAGCATCTTGACCACGGATGACATGGACGGCCTGAGCTTCGGAGTGTCTTGGGTGCAGAGGAGGCCAATCTTTAAAAACCTACAAGCTTCCTCGGCATCAAAATCACCGTTCAATGATGTGTCTACCAGTCCAACAAGCTCCCTCCGCTCGTAGACTTGCCATGTCTGCAACACAAGAATGCACTAGTAATTAATAGTGCCTATGCCTACAATAATTGATTGGTTATCTGCAGTGTAGAATTCAATATTAAACAAATAATCAAACATATTTTTAGGCGAAGTCGTTATGACATAAATGAATCAATGACTAAAACAATGAGTAGCATTTCAATAAAAATTCAGCCTTTTCCCTCATCACCGTGTCTTGCACACCTGCTCTTTGGTAATACAAGCCAACATGGCTATGAAGGAAGCTGTTATAACACACAACTCACACAAATTTGTAAAAACAATATCTGTCCAAAATTGTCCAGCAACAAACGAATTGATGGGAAACAAGGTTGCAAACTTCAAAAGCCTTATCAGTTTATGTGCAGCATGTCAAAGACCAATTATTTTTTCTTTTAAATACCAACAGGAGTTTAGCAGTACCCAAATTACTGTGATCACTTAAGCCATAATGATTTTTCTCCTTGACTCTATCATTTACTTTAACGAATTAAGAAACAAAAGGTCTTGTAACCAGGAAATATGAAAGCAAAACTGCATCTACCAAAATCACATGACACATGCAATTGCCATCCAATGGTTTTTCATTTAAACAAATTGAAAGAAAAAGCTTGTAAGGACAGAATAAATCTGAAATTAATACCCTTTCAAGCAGATACTGTTCGTCAATTGGTAGTCGTGTATTTGTATTACATCTTCCACTGACTATTTCCACAAGGAGCACCCCAAAGCTATAAATATCTGCTTTCCTTGTCAATTGCCCTCGTATTGCATACTCTGGTGCCAAATAACCTCTAAAACCAGAAAGATGTAATTACAAGACAGTAAATGCTTGGATTACGATACATCAACAAAGATATAGACAGACATCCAAAGGAAGATTTAAATGGAGAAAGAAAAGAGAGCATTATTCATACATTGAACATAAAAATTAATACTAAGAGCTCATCCAAGAAGGATATTCTAAGAACTAAATGATAAATTTAAGAGCATATGCATATGATTTGCATGATAAAAATTAATACTGTTTTCAACTATTTCTTCTCAATGTGAATTTTGTCTCTCTGAGGAAAAATATTGTAGCTCTAGTTTGGAACTAAAAATAGATTTGAATTTCAATTCCCGATTTTAAAAGGAAAGAGATCATCACAGCTTACATTGTTCCTGCCACACGGGTGCTAACATGGGTCATGTTGGGTGGAATAAGCTTCGCAAGACCAAAATCTGAAATTTTAGGCATTAGGTCTCTATCTAGGAGAATATTGCTTGCTTTGATATCCCTGTGAATAATATGTGGACGTACTTCCTCATGAAGGAAGGCAAGACCACATGCAATCCCGATGCATATTTCACGACGAGTTCGCCAACTGAACTGGATATTACTGTGACCCCCACCTGAAACGAAACAGTTTAAGAACATAAGTTTCAAGAATAGAAAAATTGATCTCAGAAAAGGACTGAATAAATTCTAATGGAAATAGACCACAGGATCTAAGATAACAGAAATCGCACAACTCATAATGTATAAGGCAAGAATACAGAACTATATACTTAAATTTATTCATGACAGCTATTTGCATGAGAACTTCTCCTTTGTCATACCCAAGCACATTAGGTAACACATTCGCAAATTTCACATGCACACGCATTAACTCACTCACTTGTAGACACCAGCAAGAAATTTCAATTCAAGAACAAAGCTAGGTAATTACCAATAAGAGTTTGTGCAAGACTATTATTCTCAAGGTAGTTGTAGACCAAAATTCTTTGGTTTTCGTCAACACAACAGCCGTAGAGCTTAACTAGATTTTCATGCTCTATTTTTGAGATCACGTCAATCTCTGTCAAAAACTCCTTCACCCCTTGTTTTGATTCAGCTGAAAGAACTTTAATAGCAGCCATTTTTCCATCTTTAAGTTGTCCCTGATGATTCACAATAGCAATTAAAATAGGTGTCATTCACA